TATTAAGTGTGATTCTGCAATGTTCTCAATCATGATGTCTATAACTTTCTGGGTCTAATAATCAGACTCCTAATTTACTTAGTTGATGTATGAAGGCTCGTTAACAAAAAATAAGTACAAAATCTCAACAGATTTTAAAGGATCTAAACCCTAACTTTTAGGGTAAAATAAAGAAAAATCTCAGAGATTCAAGTCATAAAGAGACGAAGAATGAACATAGATGGAAAGGAGCAATGATTCAAATCAGATTTGTTTCGACAATAGGGAGATTAGCTTGCCATGTCAGGCAAGCTACTAAACAATACCATAATCGAATAGCCAGTAGAAAAAGGGAGCCGGATAAGGCAAGAAATCTCCGGATGATTCCATGTCTAGTTGGAATCAAAGGAGATTTGGAGGGGATTTTGGGTGACGGCGCTTAGGAGTTGATAGAGAGCAACGGGAAGGTTGAGAGGGTTCAAGGGCGGCGGAGACGGGATAACGGTTTAGGGTTAGGGGCGTTTGGTATATTAAAAATGGTTGGGCGATTGTGGACTGTTGATTTCGGAGGTCAACGGTCCTGATTCAAGGCTTCTAGGTCGGGTTTTAAATGGTATGGGTCTGGGTTAATGGGTATTTGGGCTGGTGTATATAATTGGGCTAGGTCCGAAAATTAATAAAAAAGGGCTAGATTTTAAATACACAATTAAATCGGTAAAAATAATTAATAAAATAACAAAAAATACCATTTGTGCATGAAAATGATTTAAAATAATTACTTAGAATTATAAAAATATAAAAAGTTATTTTTGTATAGATAATATAATTATGCATATATATGGGCTATTATTGCAAAATGCGCAATTCTAGCCTTAAAAATGCAAATGTAATTATAAAAAATGCAATAAAAATATTTAAGCACTATATGGGCTTAAATGATAAATTTAGACGATTAAATCATCATAAAAATTATATGAGGGATAATTATTGGATATTTGTATAATAAAAATGCAGAAATAACTATAAAGCTTTAAAAAATTATAGAAATACTTGTGCATGTTGGTGCATATTAAAAATATATGAGAGAAAATTTTGGTATCTACAATAGGTATAAGTGTACATAACATCATCAAGCCTCTGAGGGCATCCCATCATATCATCACAGTCATTGTGGGCAAAATCATCAACGTATACTAGCTGATCAGGTGGTGGTGCGTATATAACGCCGTAACCTTTCGCATATCCCTTATACATATGAATAAATATATACGCGTATATAACGTCATCTGGTCATGGGTCAATGTTCATGTATAAATGAATGCAATGCATGAGAAGTACGTCAACAAAATCTCTCGGAACGTCATAAGACCATTATGCCTTTGATTAATATCATGAAATAAACTTTATCAACTTACGTATTTTCTGAGACCCATGAACAAATGATAGATAATAGGACACATGGGGAAACAAGAACATAAGCATCCCTAGTATTTCTATGAATAGAGTCATTTATGGAATAACTACATTTGCTCATTTCGTTTGTATCGTATGGACATGCCAAAAAGAAAGAAGGGATAGCCTTAACATACCTAAGCCTATTCTCTTGATAACCCCTCTAACACACGTCAATTGCGATGACACGTAACGACGGATCGAAGTAGGAAAAAATCCGTGTGATATTCTTGAGAAAGAATGCACCGTACTCCTTTAGAATCGCAAAATCCCGTTGCTAATTTTCTAAGAAGTCTCGTAGAATACCCTCGGATAAATTCTTTTGCTGAAGACTCGTTACTTGGAGATTGGATATAAGCATCTCCATTCTATATATTAAAGAAGGCCTTTTGTGAATTTTGATCGTCATCTTAGGTAACTTTTCTTTGCTGAAGTTCATCCGTCACCTTGGAAGATGTAATATCTTCATTTAGTGAATTCAAGAAGTCTTTTGTATTAATGGGTGTGGGCCCACACTTTTGATGACTTTGGAAACAAGTCCTCTGCCACCAAATTACATGACTTAAGAGTCATTAATTTGGGCTTTAACTAGATGCCACGTTGAGGCCCATCAATTCTTGTAAAAATAGCACGGTCTAGCCAGTTTTCGGACTAGTCATTCAAAAATAGCCACCGTTTACCAAGTCAATGAAAAATAGCCACTATTTTGCTGCAACAGAGACTGGTCCAGCATAATACACTGAAGTTTGGTGCACCTGTGTATGAACTTCCAGCATATTATGCTGGAACTCCAACACACGGAAAGTTCCAGCATAATATACTGGAGATTTGAGCACTTGTGTATGAACTTCCACCATATTATACTGGACCGGTATACTTTGGTGGAACTCCAGTATATTATGCTGGAGTTCTAGTATACTTATGTTGGAACTCCATCATATTATGCTGGAGTTCCAGCATACTTTTGCTGGAACTCCAGTATAATATGCTGGAGTTCAAGTATACTTATGCTGGAACTCCAACATAATATACTGGTGTATTTTTCGGGTTTTGAACAGTGTTTTCGCTTAGATTTATCTTTACATGAAAAGTGGCTAAATTTCGATTACTTTTGAAACTGGGCTATTTTTGAACGACCACTTGTAAATCTGGCTATTTTTGAACCATATTATACTGGACCGGTATACTTTGCTGGAACTCCAGTATATTATGCTGGAGTTCTAGTATACTTATGCTGGAACTCCATCATATTATGCTGGAGTTCCAGCATACTTATGCTGGAACTCCAGTATAATATGCTGGAGTTCAAGTATACTTATGCTGGAACTCCAACATAATATACTGGTGTATTTTCCGGGTTTTGAACAGTGTTTTCGCTTAGATTTATCTTTACATGAAAAGTGGCTAAATTTCGATTACTTTTGAAACTGGGCTATTTTTGAACGACCACTTGTAAATCTGGCTATTTTTGAATTTCTCTCTAATTCTTATCCAAATATGCTTAATTACATAGTTAATCTCCCCTAAAAATTCATAATTACTCAATTATCCACATAACGAAGAATTATCTCAAATTACTTAAAATACTACTCACTTTTAACATACTTTATACACCTCACAACATACATACTAAGAATAAATTTCATACAACTAATTATATATTATATATTTACTTACAATGTATCTACAACTTTCATACATTATGTTTGCCTAGTTAAAATACATCTACAATATCATACAACTTAAATACAATTATCGTACAAATTTTATACAATATGTCTTTTGTATATTTTGTATCTGATTTGTATATATTTTTTATGTGATGTGTGTTTTCTTCCTCTCTAAAATTCCAATCAAAACTTTCTCTCTTAATACAATTTTGATACATATCAACAAATTTTATGTAAAAGATAGTATTGATAACTTAATACAAATTTTATACAACGAGTCATACATTATACAACTATTTTTCAACTTTCATACAACATTCAAATAAAAAAATATACATATAACTACAACAGAATACATGTTACATACAATTATACTACAACTTTACTAGAATTTCGTAAGTATATTGTATGTCATGTGTTCTTCTTCTTCGAGTTTTAATCTGAAATTCAGCCAAAATCAAGTCTAATCTTCACCAAACACCCTCAAAATTGATATATAAACTCCAAACAATATTTCCAGTCGTAACTACACCCAATCCAAATAAATGATAGTTTTTGAAAGCCCAAATTCGAATTCAAAGCTTCAAAATTTTTTAATGGTTGCCAATGGCGGAGAGTCAAACGCCTACAAAATTTATTGATTGACTGTTTCAATTTGAACACCAATTGTGCAACATGAAAGGAAATTGCTAAGTTAAAACTCTCTAATAAAACGACTGAAATCCATTGACGAATTTCATTGAAAATATATACAACATGAAAGGATAAAAAATAGAGAACATCAGAGAAAGAAAAATTGGGGAAAGAACAGAGAACGAGAGATTGAGAGACACACACACACACACACACAGAGAGAGAGAGAGAGAGAGAGAGAGAGAGAGAGAGAGAGAGAGAGAGAGAGAGAGAGAGAGAGAGAGAGAGAGAGCAGGGGGAGAGAGAGAGGGGATGGGAAATAATTGATTCCTTATCCAATTCCTAATATAAAGGGATACTCATTTAATTCCTAAAATGTATATAATTGGTAAATTGTATATGCCTATGTAATTAAATTGAAACTTGAGTATGGAGGGTAATAATGTTTCTAATAGTGCATAGGAAGGTGAAAATCCCTTAAAATTTCAAAGAACATTAGCTCAGTACTACATAAATGAACTTCTACCTCTGATTAAACAAAAATGATTTTACGGTGAAGGATCATGAAAATGAAAAATAAGAATAAGATGAGGAGATGATGAGGTTCTATTGGAAAATGACATATCAATATATCATGTCTTCCTCATTTCTACTATCATCGTTCAGCTCAATTCTATGTTCTCACACTAATAGCGATTGAACAATTTTTAGAAAATTTTGCGTTTGAAACTACAACATCAAACTCAGTGAGTTCTCACAAGTGAGGTATGAGAAGTGTAGTGTATACGCATACCTTACCCCTACCCTGAAGTAAAAATTTTGCGTTTGAAACTAATAATAGAATTAGGGATTGGGTTATCTAGGGAATTAACTCTCAGTTTTAGATGGTATATGTTCTATCTGCTGAATGCATAAGGTTGTCATGGTTACCTTTCTCATAAGAGAAACAGGAACAGTAAGGAATGGATCTAAACTTACCATTAATGTATCTAATTCCAGCTGAAACGCTTTGAGAATGCGTTGCCACAGAGAGGCAGCAAGCTTTCTCTATTTTTGTAGCAAGAATTAATCCAAATAGCCGGTAGAGGTATAATATATGCATAATTTATATATTACATGTGTATAATTGTGTATAATCAATGTATAAATTATGTATATGGCTAGAAAAAGTAAACAATGAATATGGACCGGCTATTTGTGTAAAGATCTAGATACCAAGCTTAAGTTGTACATGACAAAATCAGCCCAAAGCATACACTAAGCGTATGTTGAAAGGTATTTATCATAATCTAACTTCAACACTGTACAAAGGCTGAAGCCAGCATGCTAGATTATGTACAGAATACACTGGCTAAATATTAGTAAAAAGTTGCAGTCAAACTTTTGAAAGAGTGATATATGCTTTTGCTTCTAATTCTGGCTTTATTACATGATGTTGCTGCCAATAGCAGATCGTGTCAATTCTTAGTAATCTCATCAAGTGTTGTACAATCAGACCTTGAGCTTAAGAGCACTCTGTAAAGCTGCCAACCAGGAATCAACCTGAAAAAAAAGGAAAACAGAGAGCATGCAAATGGAAGATGAAAATGAATTGATTATGTTTAAATATAATATATATCAGATAATAGTTTTCCACCTTATTTGAGATGGAACAAGCGAATGATACCAAGGGGATATACCAAGACAGAGATCAGAATAGTTACTTCAAACAAAATGGTCCAGATAAAACCATTACCTTCATCTTAGAAGTACTAGAGCATTCATATTTCAGTCCATAACAAGTTGAGATATAAAAGCAATATCGTTTCTCCTTATTGTCTCGTATCAGGCAAGGTAAAGTTCCAACTTCAACGATATCTGATAGGAGGGTTGAATCTTGGGGGCTTAGATCTGCAACATATTTATTCAAGAAATAACATCTTCATAGCTATGGGAAACATCAGAATATCCATATTCACCAAAATAGAATAGGACAGAATCAGAAATGATTTAGAGAGAGAAACGCCAAGGATATATAATAAAACTGCAGCTAAACTTTGGAAGCATTCTGAAATGAAGTTAATGAAAACGAAGATAAACCATTAAATCAAGAAAGATAAGAGAAAATGCAGAACAGATCGTCAAAGAACAAGAGATATCCCACTATAAGGTGAGGTATTTAAAGATTCAGCTATATTCCAAATAGATAAGATAATTGCAACCCCAACCGCAGGTGTTTGTCCCTGCTCTATCTATAGTAGAAGCTAAGTTGCTCTGACATGGCAGTTTAGGTGCCGCACCTTGTCGATACGACACTAGTATGAGTGTGAGTATGAGATCCGTAACAGATCTTGTCAAACAATTTTGGGTACTTTGACCATGATGGACGAAAAAATTCGAGACAATACAATTTGATTCCCGAAATCAGAACCAAAACTAGGGTAAATTTGAAGAAAATAGCATTACCTTATCTAGGAAATCAATCATTTACTTATCTACTACTTGAGAATAAAAATGAAATCTACTCTTTACAAACTATCCGTAAGTATTCCACAACATTTCTTCTACTATAGAGATATTTTTATATATTTTTTTTGAATTATTTTTAGCCGGATCCCTCCACTTGTATTCGTACTAGGATCCGTATCCCCGAATCTGAAAATTTACATCTCGAAGGATCCGACCTCTAGATCCGCACCCATGTCGAACAACGGCATCCGTCTCCGAGCAACTTAGAGTAGAAGAGGTAGAGGGTGAAGAATGGAAATTTAGGCCATGCTCGGCCCCAAAAGGTTCTTTAAAAAACCTTTAGCTTTCTAAACAAGTTGCTTCATTTTTTTTGGTGTGAAAGCACTCTTGTTCTTTATGGAATAAAACTGCACACCACTAGAAAACAAAATTTCTTTCTTTTCTTCTGAATCAAACTGAAACCAAACTAAGCTTGCTTCAATAACACCCCCACAAACTTTTAACATATGCTTGTTTTGATCCCTCCCCCTCCCCCCGAAGGGGAGTCTTGGAGGAACGGTAAAGTTGCCTCCATGTGGCCTATAGGTCACGGATTCGAGCCGTGAATCAGTTATTGATGCTTGCTCCAAGATAGACTACCTACGTTACACCCCTTGGGATGTGGCCCTTCCCCCGACCCCGAATGAATGCGGGATGCTTTGTGCACCCGACTGCTCTTTTTTCTTTTTCTTTTTTTACTTTGATCCCCCCTTATTTGGGTAACTTTGTCTTAGTATCACCTGGCGTTTCTTCCCTATTATTATGTTCCTAAATTCTTTTATCATCGACTAAAAGAATTAGCCCGACTTGCCATTAGAGTGTTCTTTCAGACGTTGAGAGGAAGGGACCCGCGGACACACCAGGAATTTTAATAATGGCATATAGCACTAAGATGGTGCTGTGACATGTACATCCAAAAAGCAAAAGTATATCCCCTTCTAGTTGTATTTGGAATCTATATAATCCACAAAGGTTTCAGCTTAATGAAGATATCCCATTTTCAACCAAATAAAAGCAAAAATAAGCAATTCAGCTTAATTGGCAAGGAGTTCATTGCCCTTGAAGCATCTTAGGTTCCTTTCTCTTCAGATTATCCACCAGATACAAGCTGGGATTGTGTTATGTTAATATGTCCCACATGATTGTAAGAATATGTTATTTTCTCCTTATATAATTTTGGGCAATCCTCACCTCACGAGTTAGATTTTGAGTTTAAGTTAGGCCCAATGTCTATTTCCTTAAGATGGAACCTATTCTTGATTTACTCAATGTAAGACCCCCATGTTATATTTTCCACACGCCAAATGTCCGGTTGTAGGCGGGAGAGGGAAGGGGGATGTTAGAATGTCACACATTGGTTGAGAAAACCTGGATGTTGTCTCCTTAAATGGTTTTGAGCAGTCCTCACCTCATAATTTAGCTATTTGAGGCGTACATTTTCTTAACATGTCCTATAGTCGCTTCAAATCCCTTCTGTTCCATAGAGCATGTATGGCTCTAGTTATCACTTGCTATCACTGTGAGTTATAGCACGTAAATATCCACTTGTCTTGCATTTTTCAAACCAAATTGTCTGCAGCATTAGAAATTAGAATGTCCTCGGAGTGCCTCCTAGGTTAGGTGGTGTTTTGTCATCATCTTCACCTTCCAGTCGTTCTAGTTGAACACTATGCTCCAGCTATTGCCAATTTTAAATGAGTGATCAGGACCAGATTGATTTAATCTGGAGACCGCTATATAAGATTTGGATTTTATCTCACACCTAAAAATAGGTGTCTTTTATATTTTCACATGATAGCAGAGGATCTATAGTGTCGGTAGAGACTCAAGTAAATTCTGCTAATAAGCAGGGGTCACCTGCTTAACCAATTTTTTTTTCTCTTCTTCTTTCAGCGGACATTACCACTCATCACCAGCAACCGGCGACCAAAGGCGCCATACCTCTCTGCAGTGGCTGCTTTGGCTGCAGCACACTCTATTCTGGCAATCGATCTCGTAGTACAACATTTTTTTATTGGCAATCGCTCCGGTGACACCATGTCTATTTTGGTGACCATTCCGGCAGCATCGTGTTTCCTTCTGTAGCTGCTGGCTGCATCATGTTTCTTTTCAGTAAATGTTCCAGAGAAACCACACCTCTTTTGTGATAGTTCGGCCTATTCTACGGCTAATTTTTTGTGACCGTTCTGGCAGCGATGTTCCTCTTTCCAACCATTTTTTTTGGCAGCAACCTTTTCCAACAAGATTCTACCTAGGTTCTCCGATGGTGTTTAATCTTTTTATGTTTTCAATGTATGTACAACTTTGTTCCCCTCACTGAGTTTGAGGGACATGTTAGAATCCTCTAAGTATTAATTTGAAGTTAGTTCATCATCTGCTAAGTATAATATGTGGATTGTATTCACACCTAAAAATACTATCTCTTATATTCTATTGTCACCAAATCTTCAACACCTTATTCTCTCTTTATTTCTTCACTCTTTCAAAGGAGAATGCTCTATCTAATTGTCGTGCTAGAAAGAGACTTTCCTGGCATCGCCAACTTTCAAATTTTTTAGACAAAACTATGCTTCAGCGCCATAATGTGCTCCAAATTCCTTCCCAGTGAGTTCTTGTCACCAACTCTATACACCATTCTCCTCCTACCATATTTCTCGTCGATTAAACTCCTTGATAATGCTTCCTCTTTGGCATTAAACTTTCATAACCATTTCTATAAGCAAGCTCTTATTCAACAACCTCATATTTCTAAATCCCATTCAATCCCCTCTCTTTGGTTTTTGTAACAGTGCTCCATCTTACCAAGTGATTGGCTTCCTTCTCCTTGCTACCCTAACATAAAAAGTTTCTCCCAAGTTTATCGAACTTGCTCTCCTCCTTAACTGACATAGGAAATAGTGACGCCACATTTGTCCGTGGTCAGTCTAGCACCCTGTTTATAAGCAATACCTGTCTAGCACCCTGTTTATAAGCACTACCTGTCTAGCACCCTATAGGTTTGTCTAGTCTGCTATTCTTTCGGTTTTTTTCATCATCCCCAGCCATACACTGTCTTCTACCATTTTCTATGTCCTTGAAACATTGTCGACATAAGATATGAATATTTCACCCACCTGCTTGCTAGGTGTGGGTCAAGCTGGAGGATTTTCGAGGTTCGGTAGGGTGAGGATTTAGTAACACACCAGAAATTGCCATCTCTAGTTTTTAGAGCCTGTTTGGACATAAAAAAAATTTCCCTTTTTCCAAAAAATTTTCACTTTTTTTCGAAATCAGCGTTTGTTCATAAAATTTCCAATTTTCACTTGAAGATGTATTTTGGAAATTTTCGAAAATTTAAAAAACTCCAAAAAGCTATTTTTCAAAATTTTCACTCATATCACTCACAAAACTTCAAAAACAACCCAAACTGAATTTTATGTCCAAACACAACTCTAAATTTCAAATACCATTTTCACTTGAAAAAAAATTTCACCATTTTTTGGAATTTTACAATTCTTATGTCCAAACGCCTACTTAATATCTCAAACCAGTTAATCTTGACTCAACAAAACATCTAGGAGATACCAAGAAATTCAAGGTGATCCATTAGATTGTAATAAATACCAAAATCAGCAAAAACTTCTAAGACGTCATTTAAGGATTATCTGGCTATCTAAATAAATGGTTGAAAAATTCTTCATAGTAAAATTTAAAAGTTGTCTGATAGAGGGGCTGGGCAAAAAATACAGTGTGATAGTACCACCATTAAGAGCTTGGAATAACATGTTTACACAGCAGTTGGAGAGTATCAAGAAATGCATGCCTACAGACACTTAAACTGTTGAAAAAATTACCAGTGCTTGACGAATACCAGAAAATACACGATCCCTGAAGGACAAAAAATCTTGGAAGCCAATCATCAACATCAGTGTCATCAACTGGAAGAGGTTCTCCGGGTAAAGTTGCCCATCTCTATCGAAAAAAGGCAGAATAAAATTGTGAAACAAAAAATGTAAATTCAATGAAGTATTGTCTGAAATCCAAACAGTGTTAAGATTATGATAGCTGCTGGCTCTTTAATACCATTCTCATGTCCAAATACCCCGAAAGCCGTGCAGCCCGTACTACTTCATCAATGTGTTGTAATCTGTGAAGAGAAAAAATAATGAAAATCAAAAAGACAATACTCTTTTGACGGAGTAGTCATTATTTTTACTGAAGGCTCTGTTCCTCTCTGTAACATTAGTTAGTCGTGAAGTTCTGTAGGACTAATTGGTGATCCTTGAACAGTACTTTACATTTGTCACGAGAGAAGATCCCTCGTTTTTGTTAAAACTGGGACTTGACTCCATTCTCAACTGTTTGTATAACGTTTCATTCACTATTAGGTGATAGTAGCATAACAATAAGGGACTTTGGAGGCTGTTTAGAGAAGGTATTACATAGATAATTCAGGTCTTCTCATTCTCTGGTAAAGCCAGTCATGCTATATAAAATTTCTATTGGTGAAATTCGATATGGATTTCCCTATACCTAGAAATGATAATAACGCTTAAAGTAAAATAGTCATGTTTTCAATTACAATTTGTGTACTTGTTTTAGAATCAGGGACCCATCCCAGTGAGGAGACCTTTATTCTAAAGTACATTCAATTCACATCTCTGGCTCCGATTTCTGTTTTGGATTTTGATTTATCCACTCAATTGCTCTTGCTAGGTCTTTGTACCCATGTTTGATGCAGCAACTACTACTGATTGCTCTTATATAAGTGTTCAATAATTGGACATACTGAACCCATGTAGGAGTACGTTACGCAGCTTTGCCATCAGATACTCATCATTGCTCTACCTTTAACAAATTCTTCGTTTGGAAGGAAGGTGAAAACTGCAACAAATTTCCATGTTTTTAACCCAATTAAACTTAGGAAATAAATTAAGATAAAAAGTGGTGCAACTAACTTTGGCCCAATTCTATTGCTTTCATTAACCGAGATATCCCTTGTTTCTCGCTTTGAAAGTCAGTGGATAATGGGGTCATCCCTCTACCCTTCTCCATTTAAACACCAGACTTGGTTCAGCAGCAGATGCGAACTCGTGACCAGAACCTACCATACAGCTGTGTCATACTACTTTTGCCGTTGAACCAAAGCCGGGGGCGGTTTGACTCAAATCCTTGGGGTCACTGCTGTTAGAAGTTGAAAAGATTTAAATTTATGACCATGTTAATATTACACTTAAAAAGAGATGAGCTATTGTGCTTTTGAATTCTCAAAATGATATTCACAGTGGTCGCCAATGATGATTGTAGAGGAGCCTCGCAAGCATTAGGGATTGAACATGGTGAATGATGAACTATTGTAACCATATAATCTATAACTAACTATTTTTTTGTAAGGTAAAATACTATTATCTAGAAATAACAATGACCACACCAATCTTGAGAGGCCCTTCTTAGTTTCACAATAAGAAAACAAAATCCCAATACTATCTAGGGATGAGTTTTCCGGCAGTTCGGATTGGATATGAAAATTTCGGTTGGGATTTTCGGTTTTCAGATTGAAGAAATGACAATCCAAATCCAATCCAAATAAGCTCGGATTGGATCGTATTTTTTAAGTTCAATTCAGATTAATAGGTTTAGATATTTTGGATTTTCGGTTTTGAGCCTACAAGTTGAGTTGTTTCTTCTTCTTACAAAAATAAATATCCAAATGAAGTATTAATGTTGAATTGCCTAAAATGTTCATTATTCTCACAGCAACCATCCAAATAAAGTATTCAAGTAATAAAATCATTATCAAGAAAATGCAACAACGACATTAATAAGGCCGATAAGAATGAGCAAAAATCTGAAGTAGCAAATCCAACATCCAATCCGAAATCTAAAAAATTTAAAAATTTAAATCTGAATTCTAATCCATAATCTGAAAGTCCAAACCAAAAATCCAAAAAAAAATCAAATTTCGATTTGGATTTCGGGTTTTCCCAAACTATGTCCCCCCCCCCCCCCCCCCAAATACTATCAAACGGAAACCAACCATGCACATGGTTACGTTTAAGGAAAAACAGCATAGGTTGCATAAGGCATGAGAGAGCCCAAAATGGAGGTATCAAATCTTACTGAGCTTTTAAATGTGCTTCTCTTTCTTCCAAAGCAGCGATTTCTGACCGAAGAGATTCTACTTCTGCAGCAGTTAATACTACCTGCAATGCATGACAATATCTATAATCTTTCTCTTCACCACCCCAATGATAATGATGACCTTCAGAACAATTCAGTAGGAAAATACAAGCTAGACAGCTAGAGGATAACTTTAAATAATATGTACCTTTTCTTGACCGTCTGCGCCAGACATCCAAGGTAGCTTGCTAAGGCTAAACAAATGCAACATCGAAGCAGCACCTTTCAATTTTCTTCTAGTCCACGATCTACTAATGGATCTATTCTAATACGGGAGAAGCCGAATAAAACAAATAAAAATAAGTGAATTCCTTTACAAATATGTAACTCTTATTCACCTCAAATGTCTTTTAGAAGATATACCTCAAAGAATCATTACTTCCTATATATTTAGAATCAGATGGGCTCTGTACGGAGTCTTCACCAGATGTTGAAGCTTGAAAATGATCTTCAAACACCTCTATTCCTCGAGGACCATCACCCATGATGTTTATGTTTGCCAGCAAACCTAAAACTGGAATTAAGTGAAACCAGAATTAGCAAGTATAATCAGCATTCGCAACTCACTATTCCAACCTCACAGTGGAAAATATACTATTTATAATTATTGCCAATTACCTTTAAAGATGTAAAAGAGTGATAGCTGTTGTATCACATTGAAATCACTTTCTACAAAGGACTTCAAAACGCAAATATTGAATGTGTGACTCGTAAAGTACCTTAATAAATAATTTAGAAGGCATGAAGGGGAATACTACCTATCATAGGCTAGGCATAAGCTTAGTGTTCCAGATAGGATAACTGATTCTGAGCTTTTCACATCTAAAGGAAAATAAGTTTTGTGAAAAGTAAGAACACCCTCCCGTAGTCAAATTCCATAAGACTTTTTTGCTCCATTCAAAAACATTCAGAACGATCTCACCCCAAAGGTTTTTTTCAATTACTTTCTGCTTGCATTTCCTTCATCTGACATCGCTTACCTTTACTCTCTTCTCTAGATCAGGTTTCTTGAGCAAATACATGTGCATAAAAGAGTGAAGCATTTCGAGTCCATGGCATTGATCAGCAAAAATTGATCAACTAGAACTTAGTCTATAAGGACATTAAATGAGCAGACGAGGCAAGGAGGTATTGCTGCAATATTAGAGATGCCACAAATCTTTAAGTCTGAGTACCATCTTGTAATAATGCTTTATTATGACAAAAATCTTTCGAGATTTTCACAATCATATCTCAGGTACAGAGCTTTTAAGCTCTTATGGGTGCTATCATGCAGCTTTGACTAGAGAAAATTGATGTTATCTTTAATAGGGCATGAATAGGAGCTAAAAGATTCTCTTTCCCAAACAATGTCAGACAAAATAATAGGAAGACTGATGCTTTTGAATTTGAGACGCACAATATATCTTGGGTATTATGCCACACAAGCACTTCATCGACTCCCAAAGGTAGAAGCTCAATTATATGTTGGTAGTCAAGACATTAATGACGAAATGGTCAAACAATGATTCCAACCTCAATGATGGAGGAAAATTCTGGAAAGGATGGCAGGTTTATTAAAATTTTAAAGATGGATTCAGCAAATGGCTATCATCAACTTAAAAGCAGACCAAAGATGGATAGACGATACGGCTTAAAAGGTCTACTTATGGCCTATATTGCACGGACTCTCCAAGAGAGCTGCCGTACCCGTGTCGGATCCTCCAAAAATGGAATAATTCTGGATGATCCGAATGCACCCGACGACATTTTTGGAGAGTCCGAACAACATAGCTAATGCTTAGGCACGCCATTTGGTCTCAATATTGCCCCAAAGGATTTTTTGTGCATTTTATGACTTAGGTACTTTTGCATTTTACAATGACATGCATTTTCGCACTATATGATGAGTCTTATTCATATTGGGCCCAAATGAGGCAGAAGCACACATCTCGTCTGCGAAAAATCTATGGCTCAAAGCTAGTATTTCTTGGTAGTCATGTCATCGGCAATGTATTGAGATTTATGGCTCAAATAACTGCAGGTTTGCCTTATTTTCCTATCTTACTTCTTTCTTCTCTTTCCAAACCCCTTTCCATATGGTTTCAAGTTTATTATGTGTTACCATCGCTACGTATATATTCTATCCCTCCACCAGGCTACCATGACGAGATTTGTTCAACATCAAGATTCTCAACCCATTTCAAGGGATTGTGAATACCTATTTCGAAATCATATTCCGCATTAAATTAGACTGTCATCCAGATTGGAAAAGGGTATTATATCATTTTGATAACACTTAAGCGAGATCAATTATTTTCCATGTGGAGAAAGCCACTTCTAGGATGGAATACATGAATGGACCTCAACCTCTTTATTCAAAGCTGAAACTCCTAGAACAAGGAGTGGCACCTAAATCCAAGAGTCCTACTAAAGTAACCAAAAGCAGCCTGAATCAATGACTATTATCCGATTATGAATATAGTATGATAGTATGCAGGACCAATAAAAAGTTCACCTAGATGAACTGGATCAAAGGGAGATTCCCATACCTCTATTATTCACTAGTACACTTTCCACTACAAGTAGCAGCTCCTTACTACTAAGGTGAGTAAAAGTGCCACTAAATTGCAGAAATACAAACATGAGTTTAACTTATATGCATGGACAAAGTAAAGAGCTTTTACACTGTAAGGTTACCTTGACTTATTGTAGCAGGTAACTTGCCTTATTCTTAAGATTACAAATCCTAATTTTTTTGGAGGATTACGCGTTAATATCTTTCGTGTGACCTAACAATGTAGTTAAACACCACAAATAGTATCCAAAAAATTCATTCCAGATTTACCAGGAAAGGGGAAAAAAGTCTTATTCTGAAGGGAAATAAAAAACTTAATACGCAGAACATAAACTTGAAGTAATTCTGGATAAGATGCACGAGCTCAAATACCTATCAGATATCAACAGAGAGTAGAAGATCAACTTCCACTAAAGCTTAATAATAAAGCCTTTACTTAATAGTGTTAATTATCTGCATAAATGAGAGCCCAAAAGAGCTTCAAAACTCAAAAATTTGATCTTACATACATGTATGATGACTTTTTTCTAAGAACAAAAAAACGCCCAAATTCACTTCAAAAGAGAAAGTACCTGAACTTGTTCGGTATTGATATTTAATCAGACGAAATTATGCAGAAAGAAGACGGGGGAGGAGAAAAGTTTCTTGTGCTCTTGAAAAGTGGTTTGACATAATACAGACAGCCATCTTCGAGAAGGAATATTACGATGATAATTATGATTGGACAAGCTGTTGAGTTATATGATGTCTGGTCCCACAATTTTAAAAAATATAAAATTATCCATAATTAAATATATTAAAATAGATTAATTGGACAAGCTGTTGAGTTATATGATGTCTGGTCCCACAATTTTAAAAAATATAAAATTATCCATAATTAAATATATTAAAATAGATTAATTAATTAAATGACAAATTAAAATTTAGAGAGAATAAACATTTTTATTTGCATCGAAGAGTAAAAGGGAGAAAAATAACTTTTTTGGAGCATGTATCTTTCAAAACTCTTAAATGTGAAATGAACACAAATTACGTGATAAAATACATCAATTACTATTAGTATTTTTTGCATTTTGTTTAATACATAATAAATTTTGATTTTTTTGTTATTCCGCTTCAAATTATTTTGAACTTATTTAGTTAGATGCATGTTCGCCTTTAGGTATATCAAATAAAGGGTGTAGAAGAATCAAAGGTTCAAGAAATAATATATGATTTCTCCTAAATAACTCTTATTTTTAATTTTTTAATTTAATATTTCATTTATATTTTAGGGTAGAGGATTAGCTTCTGAAAGAGTCGTCTACGTTCAATTTGGTAAGTGTTTTATAAAATGCTAGTACTGCAGTTTGATGAGACGCGAAGCAATGTCAATGAGAGGCAAGAAATTTGGAAATAGACTTTAGAGTCTAAAGGTTTTAAGTTGAAAACGACTAAAATAGAATACTTAGAGTGCAAGTGCGGCAACAAGATCGAGGAAGCGGACATGGACGTGAGTCTTGATTCGCAAGTCATCCCCGAGAGAGGAAGTTTCAAGTATCTGGGGTTTGTTATCCAAGGGAATGGGGAGATCGACGAGGATATCACACAATGTATCGGAGCAGGGTGGATGAAATGGAGGCTAGCATCCGGCGTCTTGTGTGATAAGAATGTGCCACCGAGATTTAAAGGTATGTTCTACAGAGTGGTGGTTAGACCGACTATGTTGTATGGGCCAGAGTGTTGGCTAGTTAAAAACTCTCATATCCAGAAGATGAGAGTAGCAGAGATGAGAATGTTGAGATGGATGTGCAGGCATACCAAGTTGGATAATTTAGAAATGATGATACTCGGGTGAAGGTGTGTTGCGTCCACCAGACTGTATAGAGAACCAGGTTCTCTATGAGTTTCCACTGAAATACTAATGAACCAAACTGTATAGCGATCTGGTCCTATATCAGTTCCCACAGTGCTAACTACTGAACCAATATGTAAATGAGACACAGGATAAGTTCCTACTGTATAGAGAACCAGATTCTCTATAAGCTCCCACTGTAAGCAACAGACTGTAAAACAAACTAGTATAGGGAGTCAGGTTCTCTAATTGTTCCACAGTAGCTCGGCAGTAAGTAAAGAACACAGAGGATTTTTACGTGGAAAAATCACACACAAGGGGATCAAAAAACCACGACCTACACTTGTAGGCTTTCAACTTCACTAACTTGTAAACACCTATTACAAACCACTTTGTAATGACTCTATTACAAATGATTCAACTCAACTAACTTGTGGTACTCTCACCACAAGCCACTTTGTGACTCTCTAGTTACAAAGACTTAACTAACTTGTGATACTCTCACCACAAGCCACTTTGTAAATAACTCTATTACAAAGACTTCAATCACTCTAACTTGTAATAACACTATTACAAGCCACTTTGTAATAACTCTATTATAAAGATTTTAACTTATGACTAAACCTAGTCACAACATAAACTGGAGAGTTTACGGATTTTGGGTTTCCTAAAAACAGCTTCTAAGAAAGCAAGATAGGAGTTACAATGAAGAACAAATAACAAAGACTCAACAAACCTAAGGACTTAAGATATCTTCGATCTTGGATCAGGTCCTTGAGGTTGCAGCAGCTTTGTTCTTGAGAGAGGTTGTGGCAAGCACTTGAGAGACTATTTTCATTTCTGATCTTGCAAGCCTGGGGAAGGAATATCTTGTGCCTTGCACCAGGTTTATACTACAAAAGACATCACCTTAGTGATGTCAAATCTTGGTTAGTACATGCCCCTTCTCAATGGGAAGTGACTGCTGCACTATCTGCTGAACTGTTGCGTGTACAGTTGTAGGCAGTCACTTTCTGCAGTTGCTTTCCAGCTGTACAGTTGACTTATACTTCTGTTAGGGGAACACCAAAGTATCAGGTCCCTAATCTGGTTCCTGTGAATCTAAAAGCACACTGCCCGAATTATCTTAAGTCGATTAACTTGAATGATTGTACCAGGCATGCTTCAGGTCCTTTATCTGGTTCTCTCATGAAGTAAGTTTTTTACCTTCCTTGATTGTATTTATACGTGTGTTACATCACTTACAATGATGTAAGTAAGGTAGGTAAAAAGCCTTCCATAGAAAGTTGACTGTTGCATTGTTCTTGTGCAGTAGCGTGTGCATGCAGCAACTTTCCTTATGGAGAGTTGACTTCATACAGTCTCCTCGGGAACTGGTAGGAACCTGTTTCCTCAGTTGTTCCTTCCACTCTGAAGAGTTTAGTTATATCCCACGCTGGATCTCAACCTGGAACTTGTGATCTCGAGGTCTTGTGAATGTGTAACAGGTTCCTTATGTGGTTCTGGATGGTAAGTTTGTTAGATCATCAAAACATAAAGTAAAGTACCTATGCCCAAGGTACTTGTAACCTATCATTTCTCCCTTTTTGATGACGACAAACTTTGAATTGATATTCCCCCCTGCGAACCAGATCTCCACATTGTTCCCCGTACGAATCAGCCATATTCCCCATGAGAATCGAACCTAAGGAGCTGATCACAACTGGTTCCCCAAGACTGTTTGGCAAATCATCAAAACTCAAAGTACCATAACTTATCAGTTTCCCCCTTTTTGATGAATGACAAACCCAGAATTATTCCCCATGAGAATCAGATTCCTTACATGAATTTATCACATCTGGTCCGTGCCCAGTTCGTTGAGAACGTTTGTCATCATCAAAACATAACAGTGTAACTTAGATCAATTTTCCCCTTTTTGATGATGACAAACCCGAAATTATTATCCCTCTTGAGAACCAGATTCCTCACATGTTTCCCTGCGGATCAGACCTATCATCAACATATTATCAGCAACGTTCCCCCTGCGAAGCAGAGCCATCTTTCGTGTACAACACAACATATCAATTCGATTCTGTTCCTCCCCCATGTTGACACCTATATAACTTCCCCCTTTTGGCATCATCGAAAAGAATAACAGAAGAAGCACAACCAAAAAGAAGTTCAGCAATATTAACTCAGGCCACTTGGTCAACACAGCGTAAACAATAACAAGAACAACAAGTGAATGACAGTGCTCAAAATAGAGTGATTGCCCATAGTGGAGTAATTATAATAAAAGCACAGTAGTTTCAACAATACATAATATGACAATTTAAACAACTAAAGTACCAATGTCGTCAAATATAGGGATCAAAAGAAGATAAGAATTCAAGGGAAGTTGGAAGGAGTGAAAGACATGGATCACTGGGCAGGAGGAAAAGTAATGGGCTAAGGCCTTGATGAGCTTGTTCATTTGTTCATTTACTCTCCTTTGATCAATGATCATCTGCTCTCTCAGTTCCTCCACCTGTTTCTTCAATCTTTCATTCTCACCCTTCAACTTGGCATTCTATTCTGCCGAGGGTCTTCGAGGACCAGGTTCTCAACCTATATGAGTAGGTTGAACCATCAATCAGATCACCAAGAATCTCTCCAAGCTTCGTCTCATCAAGAATAGACTCAGTCCCATGCACATATATCATCCTAGTATCACATAAAACATAGAAGTTATTACTTCTTCTTCAGAAACATTGGGACTTGGAGGAACAAAGAGGTGATTCTATTTTTGGAACTCAACAATGTCAAGAAGTTCCTCCATTTTTCAGCAATATCAGAGTCAACACTCCGCCTAACAGCACCTTTTGACACTTCAGAGTCTTCTACCTCTCCAAACATGATGACTCAACCTTTTGCATCTGTAAGGAACCAAGTTCCTCACTCACACTACCATTTCTTTCCCAGAGCATCCATGCCTCCCTTTTCTTCTTCTCAATCTGTTCACCCTTATCATCTGTTGCATCTTTCTCAGCCAACTTTTTTTTCTCCATATTTATTTTTTATTTTTTTTAAATTCTTTCTCACAAGTGGAGATTTTTTCACTTCATTCTCTTTTCCACAGTCACCACATCAGCAGGTCACACCACTTCATCATCAATCAACCTACTTGAGGGATCAGGTCCCTCATTCAGTTCCCCCCTTTTTCAGCATGTTCACCAATTCCTCCACCCTTCATGACTTCTACAAACCCAACAATAATTTCAGCCTCACGCTCTAAAATATTTTATCTACCCCGTTCCCTTTCATTTAAACTCCCATCAAAATCTACCAAAGACTTCTTGGGGTTTTGATCCAAATGGAGTTAGGATTTTGGAAAGTGATAGACTTGGGTTCACTTCTGCATATTTAGAGAGAAGGATTCTTTTTTAGACAAGGTTGATTTTGGTTTTGAAGAAAAGAATCGGTTTTATTTGGGTGTAAGATAGAGAAGTGCCTTTTTTTGGGGCAACGGGTCAGTTCAGAAAAGGTTTACCATTTTGGACTTCAAAAGTTAGGAGGAGAGGCAGGAGAAAGGCATAAACAGATTGATGACATGACACTTTAGCAGCTTAAAAAGGCATATAAGTATTGAAGAGACTACTAACCTGAGTCACAGGAACCAGGTTCCGTGACGGTTTTTGATAATTTTGAGCAAAGACTCCTAGAAGTGCAATGCCACTCTTACTTGTTTTTGTCCTGAAACTACCATATGTGTATACCTGTAACAGTATAGATTTGAGTTAGATGTCGCCGAAAAACACTTTTTAGCATTGTACCTTTCCTTCTTAACATAGCCAATCATCGAGGGACCAGGTCCTTAGTTGAGCTTGATCAACCCCAACTCCAG